TTCAGCTGGAACTTCCCATGCTCCAGTTTGTGCCCGTTGCCCCTTGTCCTGTCGCTGGGCACCACTGGAAAGAGTCTGGCCCCGTCCTCCTGACCCCCACCCTGCAGATATTTAGAGGCATTATAAAAATGCTTGTAACACAGGCAGAAGCTTTTGAAGTTGAGAAAACTGTAAAAGCCATTTCCTCCCAGAAGGGTTTGAAATGGAAACAGATTTGAAGCTGCAAAGGCAATAGCCTTATTTCCAGAGGAGAATCGGGGCAGTGGTAAAACCAACCTGTCTGTAGCACAGGAGGTTTGGAGCGCTGGCCAAGAGCCCAGGTCCAGCCACAGGGTTGTGTGTGAAACCTGACTGGGGATCTGGTGTTCCTGGTGTAAGGAATTTAAATGAAGAACATTCAAAATTCACCAAGTAAATTTGGGTGGCGTGTGGCATCCTTAAATTTTAGCTGTGTGGCTGTTTGCGTTGTGGACTGTACTGGTGAGCTGAAATAAAACTTTTAGATTTTCTGATTTGTTAGCTTGTAAATAAATTGCGCCTTTTTTCATACCTAGAAGTGTCCTATTTTTACATTTTCAGAAGTTTGTGTACACTGTATGATGCAGACGTTTTCATTGCATCAGCTGAGTGTGATTAAGATGCGACTTTTAGGTTATACCCCCAGACCTGGCGTCTGGCCAAGCTGAATTACAAATTTACTGGATGCTTTTCCCTGTTTTGAGCTTTACCCTTCAGCCAAGCTCAGCCACAGAGAGCCCGTCGCTGGCGCTGCCCGTGGCGTGGCCAGCTGCATGCTGGTGTCACCGGTGCTCGTGTCAGCGTCTCGGTCTGCTGGAGAACGAGAAGGCACGGGGTTTGTGCTGACTGGGTCCGTGTGCCCATCGCCTTGGGGCTGCTAGAGGCAGGTCGAGTGCTAAGAAGCTTTAAGCAAGGAAATAAAACATTGGAGTATTTTATTGTATGATGTGATTAAAAAGTCAGAGAGCCATCAGTGGAGCGTTATCTGACCACTTAAATGATTTTTTTTAAATCTTACATTTCAGATAAGTCATATTGGTTAAGCCGTTATTGATCTCCACTGGTATTTGCATGAATACGCAGTTGCTTTTTCACTGGCATCTTGTGAAAGAGGATCCTGATGAGCTTTATTTTGCTTTACTTGGACTGACTTTGTGCATTTTTTTCCCAGATGTAACTCAAACCCTTGTAAGTGGTTTAGAAAATGGGACTTGAAGATTTAGCCCTGCTTGGCTTTGTGGTAATACGTTTCAGAACAGCCTGATTTGTCTATAGTCATGTTAAACTAACTTCTAAATATGTCAATATCTAGTCCAGATTTAGAGACTGCTTGACATGTATGAAATCTGCTTGTGCAGTGTTCTTTCAATTCAAGAGCAGTGAGTTGAAGTATTTTTATTCCACTGAAAAACAGCAAGATGCAATTGTGTAAACTGTTACTCAGACGAGTTAGAGGTGCTCGTATCTGCAGAGCTTGGCGTCAGGTTAGAAGGAGTTGAGGACCAGGCTGTGGTGACATTTCCCAGATATTTATTTCACTGCAGAAAAATTAATGGTGTTTCTGCTGAGTCCCATATCTGAGTTTTCAACAGATTCAGGTAACAGAAGAGAAGCA